CGTCGTTTAGCAACCAGGAATGTACACTTCCACATTGCAAACACCAGAGCCGTGATTCGTAGATTCGTTTTTCTCTCTTTCCTTCTCGCTCATGAACGGGGAAATTCGCGTGTCTTTTTTTGGCGATTTGTCGGAAGCACGAGTGCTTGATAATTTCTCTCTCGAGCTGTTCGCATCGTTGATTGGAACACGCGGAATAATGTTTTCACGCCGAGAGTAAGAACGTAAGGATCGATTTCGCATGCTCGTGGAAATCGCGAGATTTCGCTTCTCTCCGCCGTTGCGATAACACGTAGCGTCATCGATGATCCCGCTCGATTACCGGCGCAATTTCCCTCACCGAGACTCGTATCGTTTTTCCGCGAAAGTTGACTCTACAGGCGCGAACGGGCTTTCATTGCTACTGTCGCTGTATTGATCGTTTTACACACAACACACATACGAACATATGCTTATCCGGAGAATATTTGATAATAATAATTTCTATGGGATTTCCTAAACGAGTATAATAAATCAACATCCTGCGATGATTCCTTTTATTTAACATATTATATTTTTATTGATGATTACTTTTATTTAATATATCATATTTTTTTTCACATGCTACTTATATTTTTCAGAAACTGAAATGTGCTATCGAAACACTTGCTGTGTTTCTAGCGAAATCATGTTTCTTAAGAAGATAGACCTTACTGACGATCTGTTCCTGAATTACCAAAAAACATAGTGAAATTGGAAAGAATTTATATGACAACAAAGCTATAATATTCTCTCCGTGTGCACACACATACATACACTCATCCTTGCCCTCTTTTTCTTTCTCTCTCTTTATCTTCCTTTTTGCCTTTCTCTCTTCATCAGATTTCTCCTTCGTCACAATTACATATTTGGCTCTGGCACAACTACACGTATTCGTGTCTTCCCCATCCCCGCCCCGGCATCCTTTCTCTCGTCACATCTACTCCTCTCCTTCTTTCTGTTTCTTTATCGTGAATCTGGAAGTAGGGTAATGCTTCTGGTAAATTAGAAAAATCAGTGCGCGTACAGGGCGTACCGGACTCAGCGAGTCGCCTCTGAGAACTCGGCAGTTTCTTGAGACCAGGTCGAGATCAGATTTAACTTCTCAGCCCTGCACATCGACTATCCGCTCCTCCGATTAATCTCGAGATCCGTTAAAATAGAATTGAAATCGAAGTCAATCGAAGAACAAGTTCTCGCCGTCCGAAGAGTTTGCGCTCCCGAAGTTTCCACGTTCCCAAAAGATTCATAAGGGGGTGGGAGAGGA